AGGTTTCCAAAACTAGATTACTAAATTCCCTTGTCCTTAGCTTCCTAGGCAGCTATTTCCTACCCCACTTCACTAGATATTTTCCACTAGATAATTTTCCTTACTCCAAAACCCTTCTTTCAGTCATAGTAAATGGTTCCAAAGTGACAGGAAGCCCTCTCTTAGCATTCCTTCTTTAATTCCAGTTAAAGGCAATTGGAAAACTAGTCATCACCTCTCTTACCTCTCATTCACTGTAACATCCTCCCACATGCTCTGACAAATCTTTTCACAAAAACTGCATACTTTCTAGGCATTCTTAGAAATCTGGAAAAGGCACTGTACAAGTTTCTCATTCCCTTTTTGAATGTCTCTAGTGACTTTCCTTTTCTACTTTATAAAGCAAAGTGATCTAGTCTTCACTTTATGATCCTCCTTAAGCTACTAAACCAAGCCTTTTTATTCTCATATACTGCTAAGGCATTCCTATTCTGACAATACTACTAACTTCAATTGCTATTTCTCATATTTTCAAAAAACACATTATGCTTTCTCCTATCCTGCCTGCTATTTTTGAAAAGACAGACAACCACAAAGCTGTGTGTTTTAGTGTCTTCCTCCAAATCTCACCATGGAGAAGTCTTGACATCTTGAACAATTCATGTAGTATGAGCTCTGGTAATAGATTTTTCATAACTATTTTCTTATACTCTGCTTTGATGTATCCTGTGTTCTCTTATTCCCCCAAGTACATGACATTTTTATGCATGTACTGCTGTTGTCCTGGATGAGCAAAATAATCTAGCCACTGACCTAGCATGAGCTGATACGATGTTGTGCTGTAAAAATGCATTTTGGTAAATCTCTGAGCCTGTTGTTCATTCAGTTTCTTGCCCTCTAAGTTAGTTTGACATTTCTGGCAGCCAGTCTATCTGTCTTGAATTATCTTGTATACACAGCTAGGTATAGTATCTGAAACAAAGCATAGCTGCATAACCTCATCTTCTTATGCAGTATTTCCTGCCTTTCTAATTTAGTGCATACAGAGAGGTCATACAGAAATCACATTATGAAAAAAACTCTTGGACATGGAAAACTGTCTTATAAGTGCTGAACACTTACATTTCTTGTTAAGGAAGGTTTTGTCACAGCACATGAAGTATGTGACCTGAAATCTGTCTTTTAATTACCCCATGTAAAGCTAGATATTTGGGGCATTTCTCTAGCTTTGTTTTGCACCCACTCTTCTCAGTAGAAGTTGGGGAAATGCACTAAACTACATAGCAAAATACACATGCCTGATAATCCATTCATAGGTGTGATATGGTTTATCTGGTTTTGATAGGAACTTGAATAGCACCTTGCAGAGTATGAAGAGATGGTAACAAAAATGAGACATTGGTTGCTTTTTGAAAAACTATTTTGAATGAACAGGGTGACATATGTCTGAGAGAGATCATATTCCTGTCTCCTTTTCAAAAACAGATTAAAACAACCTGGAGTTTATTTGCGCTTTGATGCCACTGCGCTCTGTGCAGAACAGGGGAGCATAAGCCATGGGACATGGAAAAGAATAAATGTAAGTGGAGAGAAATGGAAGAGCAAGCACCACAGCCATGAAAAACAAAAAAGATACTGTATTACTAGCCAAAAGGTCTACTAGAAAACAGTAAAGGAAATCACATTCTGCACACAAATAACATGCAAATGTTAATATGCGTCTGGCATTGCACTGTTAGCAGAGGGTGTATGTGAAAGATGTAATCTGAACAGCTTCAGCATCTAAGTCATCATTTAGTATTATTGTTATTTCTTAACTTTGAACAGAAAGTGAAGATTACCTATATGGAATTACTTGCCTCTCAAAGCACCCAAAACAAACATTCATGGAGTCATATAACATCTTTTCATGCCTGTGATTTCAGATAATAGTTATTTGTGATATTTTTGAGCCTAGCTAACAAATCGGATAACAAACCCCTAGGGAAAGTGTTAGTGCACCTTTTGGTGAAGAAGTCATAAATATGATATGATTTGGTTTGACTCTACCATTAAATAATGCAACATAATTTTTAACTATCTCACATTTCCTTAAATAAGCATATCAGCTTCTCTCACACACAAAATAAGGTACCCAAAGCATATACTTAGTCTTCTGTAAGCTGGCTATTTAGGAAGATAGATCCTTTATAATACGTTACAGCCCATCGTGACAGCTCTTCCAACTTTTACGTGAAGTCGGGTACTGTTTTTTCTTAAGGATAGATTATTTGAAAAGGTGGATCATTGAAACATTAAAAAGTGGAAGTCCTCATGCTTCTATGAAAGCAATCATGAAAATTGAAGGCAAGGTTCAAAACCTGTCAATTTATGAATCACAGAAACAAAATATTTCATAACTACCCCACTAAGATTCAGGTAGAAGTATGAGATGCTAACTCTGGATTTCTAACAAGGTCAATGTCTACAAAGAGCTTTTTCCTATGGGTATTTTATCTTTTATGCAGCTGGCATTATTACAAACTTGGGGTGATAAAGGACTATGTTTCAACGAATTTCTTAAGAGTACCTGTAGTGAGTTGGTAGCAAATCCAGTGTGGTTTGGAAAAGCACAGCACACACATCCCTTACAGCCAAGCCATCTCTGTTGGCCCTAGGGGTAAATCACAGAGCCATCCTTCTATTACTTCCTCCTGGATTTGGAGGATTGGCACATACTGTTCTAGCTAGGAACACTGTCTCTAATTTCAAATATACTTTGCCAAGGTTATGAGTACTGACGTGGAGCCTTTTTTTGCCATCTTGCAAGATGTGTCATTTAGCTTCTTGAATTGAATAATGGAAAGAGTCCATTCAGCCAACAAAACCAGAGTTAGAAGCCCTGGGTTAGTTTATCACAATACTTTGAAATTATTTCAACCTATGATTCCCAGGATTATATTCAACCAAGCTGTTTTTTGGGACACAGACTAAGAAGATTTGTTTTACAGAAACAGTGTGTGCACTCAGATCTTAAAGCATTCCAGCATCTCAGAAGAGTCCAGATTGTTCTTAATATTCATACCAAGTTATCAACAATTTAGAAAACCGTTGCCAAAGGTCATTCTGACTACAGCTGTTTGGAACCACAGAGGGTTTTATTGATCTTTTCCTTTGCATAACACTTAAAAAAAATATATATTAATACATTGTGAAAATCAAGACTATGACAGATGTTGATCATGACTTGGTGAAAGGTCGGGGGGAGGGGGGGGAAATTGGGTTTATCAGGGTTGGGTTGAGGGTGAAATTACTCCACTGTAATGCTATTGTTAGGTCCTTGTGTGGTAATACTGTTCTCATGATGTGCCTTTGACCTGGCACTGTACTTGTCTCTCAACAAATTAGGGAAGCTGGCTCAGCTGGTTGAGAAAGAGCTCATTAGGCATGGCAGTTTAGGTGGCACAAATTTCACAGCTCCAAAGCAATCTGGAGCCCTCCCAGAAATACAGGTATCATAGTCAAGCAAATCACTAATCCCAGAGGCCAGCTCTGACTGCTCTTATGAAGTACTGTGAATCATGATCTTCAGGAAAACTAAATGGCTGCTATCCAATTTAGCAGCTGGATTATATTAGTTCACATTTTTAAGGACAAAGGTTATAATAACAAGATCTTGTGTTACTCAATTAGGTAACATAGTTACCTTAATGGTTCTGTAACAGTTTGCTGGTGTTAGGAGCGATATAATTTGCTTCTTCTAGGTAATACAAAGGAAGGGAATTCCATACATGAAGGCAGCCTAGTAGAGAACAGGCAGCTGGGGTAAGAGACAGGGCAAAATAGGCACACTGTTGCTGAGAAGCAAGCCAAAATGACAACAGACATTAATAAAAGAGACAAAGCCTGAGTCAGAGTACTTCAGGGCCTTGAAAGCACAAGCAAAAAGTTTAAACCTGATACACCAGGCAAAAGAAAACAGAGAACCCAAAAGACAAATGTGTGTCTTAATATACACACACACATACACGATGTACATATCTTTGTAGACCTTAGAACTGGAGCAATGGATTTTTCCTGTCTACCCAACACTCCACAACATTGTGTTTTCTATGGGATAGCTTTTCTGAATCTTGTAAGAGGCTAATGAACACAAAAATTGATTTCAGCTTTTAGATCATTAAGGTTGCGCTTATTTCTACTATATGGTGGTACATCTGACTATTGTTAAGTTTTAGTTGCATATAATTCACATTATGTAGCAGAATTGGGCTTATAAACTGTAAAAGCAGTTACGTGGTTTTTAACGTACAAGCCATGTTATCCACAGACCTGAAAATTTCTAGAAAGCACTTATCTTGATATGTCTAATATTCATAAAGTTTAATGACTGCTTTTTCATGCAAACATATTCTACTTACTGGCAGAACAACAGGGAGAGGGCTGGTGGGGTATTCCGAAGTGCGGGAAAAAAAAAAAAAAAAAAAAAAAAAAGCTCTATGATTGTTTTTTTCGAGACTGAACTTTCTTTCAATTCCTCACCCTGCTGCTCACGCAACTTGGGCCAGCCAAAACGCACAGCGCCTTAGGGGCTGCCAAGAGCCCTTATCGCAGTTTGTAGCCGCTTCTCACGCGATCTCTGGAGGCGCACAGGCTCTTCCCGCCCCCCCCGAGGGGAGCCGTGGCTGCCCCGCACCCCTTCCCCGGGGCCGCCAGCTGGGAGCCGGTCAGCCCGGGGGACCTGAACTGGGACTGAAGCTGGTCTCCTCTCCGGCCCTTCATCTCCGAGGTTCATCCAGGCTCTGGGGGGAGCGATTTCATGACCTGCTCCACCCCTGCTCCCCCCGCCCAGGCAGCTCCGGGCGGTCACACGAGAGGGGAGCGGGGGGGAATGAGCCGCGGCGGCGGCAGCAGGAGGAGGAGGAGGAGGAGGAGGAGGAGGAGGAGGAGGAGGAGGAGGAGGAGGAGGAGGAGGAGGAGGGAAAGAGGGAGGGAGGGCAGGAGGGAGGGAGCGGAGGAGGGAGGGAACCGGGCAGGTGACACCGCACTAGGTTGCTCCGGCTCGGCGGGCGCGGGGCCGGCGGCGGCAGCAGCAGCAGCAGCAGCAGCGCGGTCACCATGCACGTCAATGGCAAGGTGGCCCTGGTCACCGGCGGGGCGCAGGGCATCGGCAGGGCGTTCGTCCAGGCGCTGCTGGTCAAGGGCGCGAAGGTGAGCCCCGACAGCCGCCCCTCCTCCCGCCGGCAGCCGCGAGCGGCAGCCCCCGGGGCTCGGCTCGGCTCGGCTCGGCTCGGCTCCGTTCGGTTCGGCTCGGCTCGGTTCGGCTCGGCTCGGCTCGGCTCGGCGGGGCAGCCGGCCGTCTGTCCGTCTGACCGGGCGGCGCTCAGCCTCTCCCTCTCCCCCTCCTTCCCTCCCTTCCTCCCCGCTCAGGTAGCGCTGCTGGACCGCAACTCCGAGGCCGGGCAGGAGAGCAAGGCGGCCCTGGACGAGCAGTTCGAAGCGCAGCGGACCGTCTTCATCCAGTGCGACGTTACGGACCAGGAGCAGCTGAGAGGTAGGAGGGAAACTGTCAGCGCTGTGCTCCGGCTTAACATGCAGCAACCTGAAAGGGCCCGGGCTGCTGCCCCAATAAGTCTGCAATTAAGGTTTCTGGAGGACAGCCTACTCCCGATCGCTTTCCGACAGTGACTCAAAAAGGGTTTGTTTTTGAACCTGCAGATGTGAAATGTTACTACCAGCATGCATGTATTTCGCCGTGTTGCTTGGCACATTGTAAAGAAAAGCCAAAGAAATCATTTCCATTGAGTGCTGTGTGGGATATTTTTGCATAAAAGCCTCTGCAGAAGATAATTGTTATTTTATGAGTAATATATATAAACTTTAAAGCATGGACTTGTTTTTTATGAGGCTTCAGTACAGACTCCAAGCTGCATTCCCTCGTCACAGGAGTAATAAATTCTGCTCTAGGTTGCACTGCTCTTTCCATACAGCACACTGACTTTTCAACGTGTGTTGCTGTAGCTGAAAGCAGAATTGGCAAAAGGTGGCACGGTGCTTTATCATGGTGTTAAATGTGAGTTGATAACATTTCACACACATTTTTCAGATGCAGGGAATGGCAAGGACCTTCCCTCATGTATGATTTGCCCTTATGTTTTCACTTAGTGAGGAAATTGTCTTCCCTACTGAGTTCTTAAGAGTATCACAGAATGTTGATGTACCCTTCACAATATTTCATAACGGGCACATCACTTCATCCAAGTTTGATTATTAAGTGATACACTCATAGGTAGTTACTCAGATTCAGACTTTGATATCACTTTTATCAGCGCCTTTACCCCAGATTAATTTGTGTCAGGCTAGATGTGAACATTTTTAGTTCTGCTTTTGTTCACTGCGCTTCACTGGCCACTTTCTCAACAGCAGTGATAGAGCATATCCATTCCTCTTTCACAAAACGTTGCAGCTAGTCCAGAATTCAGCACTATTGTTCACTGCTAATTTAATTTGGATTATGCCTAATTCCAAAGTTTTAAATTGTCTGTGTGTAAGAAAGATGCTGGACTTTAAATTTGAGATCTGCTCTAATTGGCAAACAAAGTTTTTATCAGCTAGGTTGATTATTGACTTCTTCTCCACGTGGGAGGAGTAATCTAGGAGCAAGAAAAAGCATCCTACGGGTAGGAATAGCATGTGCTGCAGCATGGGTGTTACCTCAGTGTGCTTTCGCACCCGTGATTCGCGCCCGTGATTCCTCTTCTCTAGTGCCAGGCTAGTGCAGGACCAACAGGATGTGCACTGGGAACTGGAGGGAGCAGGACAGGGCAGTGAGGGAGGTTTTGGAACCAAGTCAGCAGGAAAAGAGCAATCAGGGTAGGATCAGAATGGGCTCTCACCAGGAGCAAGAGCAAGATTAGCTGGCTGCTGCTTATGCCTCTCTGACACTGCATTATTCCTGCTGCAGGTTTCTTAGCATAAACTTGCAATCATGTCTTACAATCTTCGGGGTTTTGGGGGTATTTTTTAGTGATTTTATTGATTGGGGGTTTTTTTATTGCTTTATTTTCCTATTTTTTTTCACTTGTAATTGCAAGATGCCACTTAATAAACTTAGATTAATTTAACTCCTGGTGTTTAAAGCTTTTAGTGGATGCATCAAGTTCTGTACTTGCCTTTTATGTTAAAGGTCATGTGCATGAATGAAGTTCCTTCTTATTTAAACTTTAGCCCTTTCGGTATGAAGCAAGTCACAGTACTAGAACTCATATCTGTAGGTACATAATGCTTATGGGTAGGAAATCAGCTGCTTCCTCTACATTCAAGTCTTGCCTGTGTTTTTTTTCTCCGGTGGCTCTTTCACACAGTCCCCACAAAAATCTTCTATCTTGACCCACTTTTGAAAAACCACCAAACTTTTACTTTTGCTTTCCATGAATATTTAGGAAGGTCACATATAACTGGAGTTTCTATTAATTTCCACTGGTTTTCTTACCTCACTTCTCAAATATATCCTCCTCTTTAATTTTAATTCATTCAGTGTTTCATATGATCATCTGCTTTAAATTTTTATGATTCCATAAGCACTAACTAGTGCTCAATGTAAAGACAAAATTATTGTACAATTCTAAAAGGGAAGAACAAGTCAGTTTACACTGATGTGTGGGTGATAACTTCACTAAGAATTTATAATGAGATTCTACTTTATCGACTTTATGTGGATAGGTAATAGAGGGGATTACTGTAGGCAGGTAAACTTTTATCAGCAATATTCCAAATTTTGTAATCATTTTTTATTTTAACATAGATATGCAAACAGCTGAAAATCATTTGGCTCTTTTCTCAATGTGTAAACTATAACACTACAATTAGTCAAGACTCTGTAAATTTAACAAATAATTGGCACAAGTACTATTATCCATGGTGGTTTTTGAAGGCAAAAGATTCCATTGAGAATGAGGTTGATGAAAGATACGATTCAGAGAAGGCTTACAAGGGAATCAGAGAGCCAGTTTCCAAAATTTGGAAGCTGGTTGAGGACACAAATCATATTATTTTACAAATTGAAAATAATCAGTTCTGCCTTTTATAAAGCCAGTGGTTTTCATTTGCCCTTCCTGATGCAGGATTGGAAAGATAAGTGATTGAAGAGTTGAGAAACCAGAAATGAATTAACAACGAACATAACAAAAGCCAAAGAGGCAGACAGCAAAAATAGAGGCTTTAGTAATATTAAAATATTCTAATACAGATTAAAAATATTAGAACAATCTATACAATAAAGGCAGTTGGACAAAGAAATCCTTTCCCATCAGCTGCCCAACTCTTGTTCTGATGACAAGATGATGACTATGACGAACCTACAGCATTCAAGGAAAGAAAAGGCTGTAACAGTACCAACCACCTGGTGCAGGAAAAGATAACTTTTTAAACCCCTGCAACTGCTGCAAAAAGGGTAGAGGTCTCAAAGCTGTTTCTATGCTCCTGATTGACACTAATAGCCAAAGACTAAAATTCAGAGAATTAAGATGGTTCTGGGATCACCTTTTAGTGAAGTGTTTTTATTAAGGCCTGTCAAACATAATTTCAGTATATGTGGATTTTTAGTCAGTCCCCAAACGATATTTTTTGAAACAATATGGGTGTGTGTGGGTGTGTGTGTGTGTGTGTCTTGTCTTACCTAATAAATATTTAGTGATGAGGAACAACATTTGGTGGATAAAACAAACAAGCTATATATACATGTCAGATAATGTCCGCAGTCATGGAAAATCTTAGTCTGGAAAGAACATCTGGAGGTCATCTCATCCAACTATCCTGTCAAAGCAGAGCCAGCCTAGATGCATGTGCTCATCACTATGACATAATCATGTTTTTCCATACACATCTTTTATTCATATTTTAGTTTAAACACTGTCACCTGGGAGAACACAATGTCATTGTGGAAGTTTCCCAGTTCTTTATTTTGAAATTCTTTGGACGAAGGTCACTATTTTCATCAACAGAAGGAAGAAGTTTTGAATTTGAGAAACACATTATTAAAGTTACCTGACAAGTAGGATGTATAACAATTTATTTATAAATGGATAAATTTAAACAAGAACTATCATGAATTATTTGTAGTTGAAAGATTCATATTAGTTACATCACTGGAAAAGGATTGCATTCTTAGGTTAGATTCAGACTCCACCAGCAAAATTGTGAACACACAAAGCTTTTATTTTTCATTTAGAATAGATGGTACCAAATCTTGAATTCACTAGCTATATCAAACTGTTATAAAACAAGCTATGGATGTTTAATTTATATAATTAGGGTGCCAAACATCCTATCTAATACAAAATGTATGGGTGCTAAGAACTTGAATCAGCTCATGTTATCAGGCATTATAAGACTGAATGAAAAAGTGACTATGGTATCTTAATCCTTTCAGTTTTCTTCAATATATTTAATATTAATGAATGTTTAGATAAACAATTTAATTGCATATTACTCATTAGTGGTTAAGAGAACAGTGAAGAAATTTTGGTAGACTAATAAAATGTTAATTTGTATGCATTCATTACATTTTTATATCTTACTTTCCGTAAGTACTAAGAAATTTCACCCTTGGATCTTACCATAGGTGCTTTCAAAAAAGTAATTGAACGTTTTGGAAGGCTGGATATTGTGGTTAATAATGCTGGAGTGAACAATGAGAAGGACTGGGAAAGCACTATACAAATTAACTTGGTAAGCATTATCTCCTTTCACACATTCATACTTCAGTACCTAATGCTGAAGTACGCTTAACAGCCCTTGGCTTGTACAGATTGCGCCATATGATGGAACATTAATTATTGGATTGGTAAGCACAGCTATTGAAACAATAACCATGTAACTGCATATGTAGTAACCAATAATTGTAGAGGTACTCAGGCTAACACCAGACAATATTCTTTCTATAAAACCAAGTGAAATCCCAGGTATCTGTAACAATTTAGTGCCCAAAGCAGTAGACCTGCATCTACAGGAGGCCAATCTGTTTATATGAATGTTTTAGAATATTGTAGTTATTTGTGAGACTCAGCTGGCCTGCATTAGAGAATAAGTTGCCATTAGCTGATTTTTCAAGAAAGTTGTTCAACCAAGAGCTCTGCATTTTCTTCAGCAATGAAGCAAGCGTACAATCTGAGCTTTTAATATGTGCCATTTCACCCTCACTGATAGAAGCGCACCACTTAAGCGCACTTACTTGCTAAAATCCAGTACATTCAATGAGTGTGTGAAATTTATTTTCAAACAGATTATTACCATTTCTTTGATATTATCTGGTATCTCATCAGGTAAGACCACAATATCTGTTTCTCAGTTTAAATTTTTTTAATTTAGGCTACACTGCTAGGAGATCTAAGCTCCACAGGAAAGACCAACTTTGTAGGTTAATAGAATTCTGACCAGCTTGTATTCTACCACCTGTGAAGTTCTAACTCGAAGATGATTCAGCAAGCCACCCCTGTGACCAAAATGTGACAAAGTGTTATAAACTAGATCTTCAAAGAAAGTAGCAAAAGGCAGCTTGGAAGAGTGCAGCATGGAGTTTTTTCCAATCAGTCATTTGGAATTCTTCAATGCAACAAGAAAGCTCAGGATAAGAAAATTAGAAGTTTGCTTTTGTCAAAAGTTTTAAGGACAAAGTTACCTGAGTCTTTGAATCCTAATGCCTCCATGAAAACAAACTAACAAAAAAACCCCAGGGAAAGTAACACAAGCTATATATGAGACAAGTTATAGAAAAATTAATGGGAAAATATGTATTTGAAAAAAAAAAAAAAGTTAGATTTAATAATACTTTTTCTTGATCTTCTGTATCTATCCAGGGCAAATTTACTTATTCTTGGAAGGGACTAGACTGAGATTACAGAGTAAAATTTCCATACTAAGAGGAATATGTTTGTTCAATTTCCTTTGACTTTTCAGTACAACTTCTTTAATATTTAACTGCACATATTTCTTCCTCCCCCCTTTCATTTCTAAAATATTCTGACAAATGTCAGGAAACTTTGTATTGTGAAGTAACAGGATTGTGACATCCTTGGTGCTATGCAACATCAATATCCCTTAGCATAGATCACTTGAATTTGAAAGAGGCTTTACCAGTGTTCTAGATGACTTATTTCTCTTTATTTTTGTGCCTGGCTTAACACAGGATATAAGTTACTGTAGGCATCCACCCACATGTCAGATTTTCAAGCACAGAGTGTTAGTCATCACCAGAAAAATTGAAGTCCATGTGGGGAATACATTTGTTTGTGATTCAACTTTACATTTCGCTCAAAAAATTGAGGCATTTATGATCAGCAAATTTTGAAGGTATTTAATGTCCAGATAAATATCCTAACCTAAGAGTGAGGTCCAAAAAACTTTTCAATGCAAGGGTTTCAAACAGTAGGCATTGAGAACCTCCTCCTTTTATTCTGTTTGTCTTACCACCAGTGATTGGGCTGAAGCAGACCACAGGTGGGTTTGAAACATCTCAAGCAGCAGAGAAACTGGAATCAAAGTCTTAGAAATCTATATGCTTAACTATCAAGCTACTGCTCCTAAACATTAAAAAAAAAGGGGGGGGGGGGGGGGGGAGGAAGATTATATAGTTTATACATTGTTGTATAGGTAAATTCACCATAAATGTCTTAATGACTTATTTATAGTTGAAAGTAAAAAATTTCATCAATACATGCTGGTGACTGGAGTAAGAACATCTAAAATAATCAAGCAGAGTAGAATTACAGCCATGTGGGTTAAATCAAGGACACTCTAAGATCCAAATATCCTCATTTATCTTTTGATTTGAATATTCTTACCCTGTCTAACCTTGAGTCAAATAACTAGCTTATTTCCATAGGGCATTTCTATCTAGTTACTGTAATTTCCATAAGCCAAGATATAACGTTGTATTTTTTGCTTTTTAACTATAATGATGTAAGAATAACAGCTGCTGCATTTAATATGTTATATTGGTTGGTTCCATAAAACTTTTTTTTGCTTCTTGTAGAGAAAGGAGCAAAATATGTATTAAATAGATGATTTTAAAATGTCTCTCTTTCCCTAGTGTAAGACATTTTAAGTATCCTTTGTATTATCACTAAAAACAAGAATAACTTCTATGGCCACACATTTTGATACACATTTTGCATATATTTTCTATTTTAAAAGGGGGGGGGAAGGGGGGAAACCTTCTACATGTCAATCTTCATCTCAGTGATATTATTTATCTATTGATACAACAAATATTCCCTGCCCCAGTTTAAAGTACAAAGTACAAAATTAGAGCAGTACAGAGCAAGATAAATCAGAACAAACACATATGGGGTGTGTTCTTTATGGCTAAAACAGTTCACAGAACCAGTTGGTTGTCAGGAACGTTTTTAGACAAGTGCAAGGAAGTTCCCTGATAGCATGGCTTGAGAAAGCATGAGGAACAGAAAAGAAGAAGCAGGTTTAAAGAGTGGGACTTAACTTAGAAGGAAAAAGAGGGAAAAAACCACAGTTCCTACTTATATCCATTACAGTTTCCTGAGAGTGAGAAAAGACAACTTAATAAAGATGGAGGAGGAAAAAGAGTATCAAACGCTAATGAGAGATTTCTGTTGCAGTGTTTTCCACCATTTTACTGTACTTTGTGCTAAACATCCACCTTTTCATTGCTTTATTAATATTTCTATTAACTTTTTTAGTTAAGTATTCCAGCAATGCCATCCATTCCTCACCTCAGAACTCCAAAGCTGATAATATTGACTTGATCAATATCAGCTTGATCAATAACAGCTTCAACCACTCATACCCATACAAATGTACACTCTCGTTGTTATGGTATATTAAAAAAAGTTCTCATCAACCATACAGGAATTCATGTTAAGTAGATATTACCAGTGTCATTGCAACAGTCCATCACACACACCCATACCCATTCACAGAAGAACACAAGGACATATGGCACATACATTATTATCAAAAGTCCTACCTCCAGTCTTTCAGCATGACAAGAACAGTGTTTGCTGCATTCAACTTTATCAGAACTTAGGCCTAAAGAATCCAGAAATTTTATAATCTGACTTTTATCTGTTCAAGTCCCTAAAGAAAATAAAACACCCATGTTTTATGAGCCTTGAACATATATGTTAGTTAAACACAATTTGGTGTTCTAAGAAGCTTCCTTAATTTTCTCTTCTGTTGATGATGTAGGCTTTCTGGAACCACTGTAATTATAGTGGCTACTATAATTACAGTATCTTTTCTCTTTACAAATGCATTTAGCACCTTTTATACAAAGACAATCCCCAAATTTACTTGGAGGTTCCTTTTTTATGCTGGTATATGAGTTTTCTGAAAACTGACATAGGCTGCAGTATACAGTTAAATGTAGCAGTACTGGTATTACATATGCTTACATCTTAAATATTACCTGAATCAAAAGTACAGAAGCACTTTACAATATTTTTATTATCTTATAGTTTTCTTATGCCAATAAATTAATTATTTTGTAGGTAAACTTAAACCAATTCCCCAAATGGAATTTGACAGCAAAATCACAATTATCTCCTGTTTATGTGATGATTTTGCACATGTTAATAATTTATTCTGGCAAAACTTTACATTTCAGGCCATAGCTTTGGCATGGCAAAAAAACCCGCAGTCATATGGGATCCAATTATTTAAACGTTGCCCAGAGAGAAGTAGAATTCAAATATACATGTAAAATTTGTCCAGGTACATGACAATCTCATCCTTCATTACTAGGCAAAATGTGGCAGTACCCAACAATTCCAAGATTTTACATTTTTCATTAGTTTACATAATTTATTTCCATAATTTAAAAAGGTGACAAGTTTTTATGAATTTAGAAAAGTCCTTTTAATAAATGAAGTCTACTTAACTCAGGGGTTGTCCCTGCAAAATATTTAGAATGGTATTACAGAGAAGAGAAAGCAACACTATATATGTGTGGCTCTGTTCAATATAGCTCATCATGAAATAAAGGTACCAGCAACTAGTAAACCTTGCAAAATCAGTTATTTGCTCATCAGTAAGGAGTTGTTCCTCAAAAGCCCAATTAATGTCCTGTCAGGAACCAGAAGGGTAACTAGACAAACTTCAGTAGTGATTCATTTTAATTATTTTGGGGACAAAGACTTCACGATTATCACAAGGCTGTTCCTTTCTGCAAGCCATAAAAGGAATCCCTTGGGAGTATGCTGCAACCTTTATCTGGTCCATGCACCTTGCTCTCCTTTCCCAGTGTACCACGAGAAATGACAAGGACTGAACTTTCATCCCAAAATAATGTAACCCGGATGCATAGACAGTTTCAGCCACCGAGAGTTACCACCAGGTCCCACAGTACAGAGGCAAGCACTGTTTCTTAATGCCACCAACACAGAAACTAAACAAAACGAACGGTGTTATCTGTAGAAGATAAAATGGCATAGGTAACTAGTTTACCAAGCTTGCATTCTAAGACAACCAGAAATACACTAACTCTGTTGTTCAATGGCTTAGTTGCTTATTCTTCAGCATAATTTTATGTCAGAAAGAGGACTAAGTGCCTAGGGAGAGATGTGGCCACCAAAAAGTGAGAAGTAGCACTTACCTTGAAAACATGGCATGAGGGTCAATCCTCTAAGTGCATGGAGCAGCCTGGAAGTATAATTATTTTTCTTGCTCATATTACACAAGGAAGGACACAGACTTAC